TGGACAAGCATGCAGTGACAGTGGAGAAGAAAACTTTAGGCATTCTAGCTTATGAATATTGTCGGAAAAAGTCTCAGCTACTGTACATTCCACATTTGGAAGCAATTTATATTTACTTGGCTGGTTTTAGGCATTCAAATGAAGCAGAATCCTGAATCAGTGCAGTCTTAGTAATGTACTACAAAACAAAATACTACAAACCGCAAAATATTACCAGATATTTTTGGTCTGGTTTCTACTACAAATAAATTGAAATGAGAGAAAACTAACTTAAAAGTAGCTTTTCAGGAAGATACGGGGGCTAGTATTAAGATAATTCCTTAATATTGATTAAAAAAGTACTAGTTCCACTGGAAGACAAAACATATAACAGGGAAAATGTCTTGCTATAATGTATTAAGATTTTTTTAATTACAACAAGCTCCTACTAGTAAGTTAGTTTTCTTGTTTTAAGTGTGCTAAGATATTTGCACCAGAAACTAGACCAAAAAACAAACAAACAAACATAGTAATATTTTGTGTTTTTGCAGTGATGCCGTTTACTTCCTGTCCAGTTGCGTGGAGTTAATTAAACTCCATTGTTTTTGCTACTGGCTCCCTCTAATGTGTTTGGTTGATTACTTCTTTTTAAAGGTTGGACTCACTGGCCCTAAGACTGCGCCGATCACACTGTGGCTTTCACTTCTTGGACGATAAAGCAAAGACAGACTGAGGAGAGACGTGTTGTAAAGATGTTTATTGTAAAATGCTTAAAGTGTATCAGCTCCGTGGTTTTATCCACTGTTCCTTGTTTTGCACCATGATGTCATGTAATGTATCGACACAAACTACTTAAAGAAGATTTATTATCAAACTGTTTTAAGCTGTTCCACAAGTGTTGCTTTTTATTGTTTTTAATAATGTAACAGTAGTTTCTCCTCTGCTCTGGCTTGGACATGAGTTTTTCAACATTTTCTGGGCATGTTCTTTAGGTCAGATTCAAAACTTACCTGCTGCACTTTGAATTACAAAAAAAAAGTACAAATGCCATTTGTTTAGTACAAGGGTATGAAAAGGTTTGCTTAAATGTCCAAAATCCATCCATCCATTTTCTATACACCTTTGTCCCTTTTTGGGTTTTGGTTTCACCCTTTGGTCACTTTAATCTTCTGAAATCTGCCGTGTAGCAAAAAAAAAAAAAAAAACCTGCTGGCAAATATTTTAAAACTCAGGGCGAGTTTGATTCCACAAGATGGACATAAACAATGTTGGCAAATAGAAGCCTATAGTAATGAAAGTATGACACTATTTATCATCTTTATGTCAAACAAAGCTGTACATAGCACCTTTAGCACCATAATAGCAATCATACAGAAGACTTAAAGTGAGGTTCTGTTATCAGCAATAGTTAGCATGCTAGCTACTTAGCTTGAAGCTAAATATTTATCTTCAAATTAAATATTTAGTTGGTAAACTAAATATTCACATTACAAGCCGACTAATACTTAGTTTGCAATGTAAATATTTAGCTAACTCAACCGGGTGTCGTATGCTGAACTGGCAGCTCCTCTAAAGGTCGGACCTCTTAATGCGCATGCGTACTCATTGCATGTATGTTATTCTGACAAGTATGCTGATCTGACAACATGGGCCCTAAATGGTTAGTTGGTTTGCAAAATAAACGTACTTATTAAGGTTTTTCAGATTTTTTTCCCACAGACTTTAAAAAAGTTGCAATCTACTGTACCGCAGGCAAAACAAACAAACAAACAAAAAAAAAAAAAAAAAAAAAAAAAGGGGGGGGGTTAAAAACATGGGAAAGGGGTTGGGTTTGTTTTTTCAAACACT